TTCTTTACGGACGTCAATTAGAGAGACTGTTGTGGTGTAGTTACAATTATTGTCCATCTATTTCCGGTGGCCTGCAGGAATTGGACAAATTGAGATGTGCTCGTCTGAGGTACCAGGTGGCGCATCAACTATGAGATAATCGAGCTCACCCCAATTCACATCTTTCAAAAATTGCTTGATGAGTCCATTCTTGCGTGGGCCTCTCCATATGACAGCTTCATCAGGATGAGGGAGCATGAACCCAATCGACATCACCCCTAGGTTGGACTCAACATAAACAGGGGACCACCCAAGGTTGCTCTGGTGAATGTCTTGACCTTCTAGGCCAAGCATCTTTGGGATGCTTGGGCCACAGATATCAATGTCTAGAAGACCCACCTGGTAGTCCATGGCTGCGAGTGCAAATGAGAGTTGTGCAGAGAATGTGCTCTTGCCAACTCCACCTTTGCCTGATAAAACCAATATCTTGTGCTTGACGGTGACCATTCGTTCCACAATTGCAACCAAGTCTGTCAAAGCCAACATTTGTTGTTACAAACAAATACCTACTTTCACCATTTCATTTGCAACTGAAAGATTTCGGACTTAGAGAAGTACACTCCATCAGATGAAATATGTAAAGTAGAAATGCAATGCACTCAAGAACAAAGAGTCTCCATTTTTACATTATTAAGATTTTCATGGAGAAATGTACAATAGAAACTAGTTTATGACTGCTGTTATTTTAAAAATCTTCTACCCCAGTTCTCCTTTCTCTCCTTATACAATATGCTCACAGTTGCCAACCGGCTATAAGTTCCAACTTTTTAGGCATGCAAAACTCAATGTATTAACATATTTGTGTTGCCATAGAAATTGCCTAGCTTTATAACACAACTACATAACTCTCCTTATTAACCTCATGATGCATGCCCCAACCATGACTATTACCATCTTGAGAAAAGGGTTATTCCTTCATTGAGTTGTTAAAAGATGTTCAAGTTTGCATATATGTAGTTTGCATTATTTGTGTCTTCTTCCATCATTCAAAAACAACATTGCTTATCACCTAGAAGGTGTCACTAGCTTTCTGTTATCATATCTCAGACTCTTCAATTTGCAAAAACAAGGGAAGTGTTTTTCTCTACGTCCCTTCCATTCTGGTGCTTGCTCTTGGAACATGATGACTATTAATGCTTTTCACATAGCTATTGGAAATTATTTCATATTTCTACAATTACATTATATATTTCCAGCATAGGCTATGCTTGAAACAAATTGAAAATTATTATCGAATTGATTTGAAATATTTACAAGAAAAAATTTCATCTAAAAATTAATAAAGATCAAGATCATATTAAATCTCAAGAAAAACTTTTTATGGTTTTTTTCAATAGAAATTTTTTTATGGTATTTGGAATTCATTATTCCAATTTTAGAGTCAATCACTAAGATACCCCTCGAGGGGGACAGGGCCAAGCGGAGCAAAAAGAATTTTCCATAAGACAGGAAATGAAAACTAGCTATAATTTTTTTTTTCAAAATATTAGATTATGTATCGAAAGAGTAGTATGAGACAAGGGATATTTCAAATTTTCTGTTAGCTAATTTTATCTTAGCTAGGAGCTCATTTCAGCATCACAAACTTTTTTTTTACACCAAAATGCAAGAATAATATTTATGTTGTGAAAAAGTACAAAAGAAGAAACTCTGGAATTGCTGAATCACAGGCGAAATAAATATATAAAAAAGGTAATAAATAGAAATGATAAATAAATAGTGGATTCCACCGTTTTTATGGTTACTTCTTAAATAGAAAGTTTAGAAACTTCTTAAATAGAAAGCTTCTCACTATACACCGGAGCTCTTCCTTCAATTAATCAATAGTATTGGTAGCTTGTACAGTTCACACTCTTTGGCTCTACCTATTCTAATAAAAAATTCATACGAGCTCATCTTTTATCATCTTCTGATAAAATTTTCAAGACTCTTAACTGAATTAACTAAGAATTTCTAAAAAAATTCTACAAATATTCCTGATTTGTTCCAAATAAAGCGTTAGCATTAACCAAGAGAACTTCTACACTTCCCTACTTCCCAATTTATTTATCATCAAATGTCACCAAGTAAATGAACCAGAAACGATCCAATAGAACCTGAGCTTTTCTAACAATTGAAAACAGGAGAAGGACAAAGTGACCAGATCAACCTCAACATATGTCATATGTAACATAAGCCATAAATGAGATTTTTTTCCCAGAAAAATCAGAAACTGTAACTCAAGATTTAGAATCAAAAGCAAAAACAAATATTGAATTCACATGTATTAGCGATAAAGAGAAGTGTAGGATAAGAACCAGGGTCTTGGCCCTTTAGGGGCAGTGGCGCAGACTTCTTGTTGGGACATCCTTGACAAGCATCAGATTTCCCAGCAGACTCTGATTGAGGACCCGGGCAATCTGCACCATAACCACCAAATACCCCAAAAT